AGCTTGTCTATAGGAACTCCCCGGACTTCAGCTCGCCCATAAAGATTCCCTGTGCTCCAGATTTTTTTTGTTTATTTCCTGTGGGAAGTTACTGTTCCATATTTATTGCCCCCGCCCCCTTTCGCCTTTGCGTCTTGTTGACCACATCCTAATGTCCATAAACTAATTTAATATCATTTCCATGTTTTCCATTTCTAAAAAAAGAACTTAAAAAATAGATTTATATGTTTCTGGCATTATCTATTAAAAACAGTCTCTAAAAGTGTCGTCCAATATTTGTACAATTTCTCACAGACCCCCACCCCTATCTCCCCAAAAACAACAAGTGAATTACTTTGATATTTACACAGCTCTTGAGAAGTGTGTTTGTGTGTAAGAAAAAGAAAAAAACAAGACAAGAACATATTTCGCTTGTTACTGGAGAGACATTAAAAAACGTCGGCTATATTTTTTTCGTTTCTTTCGTTATTTGCGCCCACTTTTGGTTTTAGTTTCGACGCGCTTGTTTACGCAGCAAAATGGAACTGAACATTTGTGGGGTCGGATAAGTGGCACGACTGTGCATTGGCGACAGTCGTCGGGCTTTTATGGGAACATTGGGCTGAAAGAGGTTAGGGTGAAGTGGTTGAGAAAGGGAGTATAAAAAGGAGAATTTTTTGGATGTGGAACTAGTTACGTAACACCCCTTATGTGGCCGATTTTATTAGCAGTGAGGAAAGGTGGTAGAATATTTTCTGAAAAAAAGGGGATCCTCTTCAGCTCCCACTCCAGAAACTCTCAGGGCTTCAGTCCGGAAATAAAGGCTCTTTAGGCATCAGCTCGCCTCTAGAAACTCCCTGGATTTCAGCTCGCCAATAGAGGGTCTATGAGCTTCAGCTCGGCTATAGAGGCTGCAACTCGCCTATTGAGGCTCTCTGGGCTTCAGCCCACGTATAAATGCTCTTTGGGCACCAGCTCGCCTTTACAAACTCCTGGAATTCACCTCGTCAATAAAGACTCTATAAGCTTCAGCTGAAGAATGGAGGCTCTTTGGGCTTCAGCTCGCCTATTGAGGCTCCAAGCATTTTAACTCGTCTATAGAAGCTCAATGGGCTTTAGCTCGTATCTAGAAACTCCCTGGGCTTTAGCTCAGAAATAGAGGCTTCAGTCAGCCTATTGAGATTTTTTGAGCTTCAGCTCGGCTTTTAAGACTCTTTGAGCTTCAGCTCGCCTATTGAGGCACTCTGAACTTTATGTCGACTATAGAGGCTCTCTGAGCTTCAGCCCGCTTATTAAGGCTCTGTGGGCATCAGCTCGGCTATAGAGGATATTTGGGCTTTAACTCGCCTATTGAAGCTCTATGGGCTTCAGCTCGGCTATAGAGGCGCTTTGGGCTTTAACTCGCCTTTTGAGGCTCTATGGGCTTCAGCTCGTCTATAGAGGCTCCCTGGCCTTCAGCTTGTCTACAGAGACTCCCTGCGCTTCAGCTCATCTATAGAGACTCCCCGCGCTCCAGCTCGTCTATGGAAACTCCCTGGCCTTCAGCTCGTCTATGGAGACTCCCTGGCCTTCAGCTCGTCTATGGAGACTCCCTGGCCTTCAGCTCGTCTATGGAGACTCCCTGGCCTTCAGCTCGTCTATAGAGACTCCCTGGCCTTCAGCTCGTCTATAGAGACTCCCTGGCCTTCAGCTTGTCTATAGAGACTCCCTGGCCTTCAGCTCGTCTATAGAGACTCCCTGGTCTTCAGCTCGTCTATAGAGACTCCCTGGCCTTCAGCTTGTCTATAGAGACTCCCTGGCCTTCAGCTCGTCTATAGAGACTCCCTGGCCTTCAGCTCGTCTATAGAGACTCCCTGGTCTTCAGCTCGTCTATAGAGGCTCCCTGGCCTTCAGCTCGTCTATAGAGACTCCCTGGCCTTCAGCTCGTCTATAGAGACTCCCTGGCCTTCAGCTCGTCTATAGAGACTCGCTGGCCTTCAGCTCGTCTATAGAGACTCGCTGGCCTTCAGCTCGTCTATAGAGACTCGCTGGCCTTCAGCTCGTCTATAGAGACTCGCTGGCCTTCAGCTCGTCTATAGAGACTCGCTGGCCTTCAGCTCGTCTATAGAGACTCGCTGGCCTTCAGCTCGTCTATAGAGACTCGCTGGCCTTCAGCTCGTCTATAGAGACTCGCTGGCCTTCAGCTCGTCTATAGAGACTCGCTGGCCTTCAGCTCGTCTATAGAGACTCGCTGGCCTTCAGCTCGTCTATAGAGACTCGCTGGCCTTCAGCTCGTCTATAGAGACTCGCTGGCCTTCAGCTCGTCTATAGAGACTCGCTGGCCTTCAGCTCGTCTATAGAGACTCGCTGGCCTTCAGCTCGTCTATAGAGACTCGCTGGCCTTCAGCTCGTCTATAGAGACTCGCTGGCCTTCAGCTCGTCTATAGAGACTCGCTGGCCTTCAGCTCGTCTATAGAGACTCGCTGGCCTTCAGCTCGTCTATAGAGACTCGCTGGCCTTCAGCTCGTCTATAGAGACTCGCTGGCCTTCAGCTCGTCTATAGAGACTCGCTGGCCTTCAGCTCGTCTATAGAGACTCGCTGGCCTTCAGCTCGTCTATAGAGACTCGCTGGCCTTCAGCTCGTCTATAGAGACTCGCTGGCCTTCAGCTCGTCTATAGAGACTCGCTGGCCTTCAGCTCGTCTATAGAGACTCGCTGGCCTTCAGCTCGTCTATAGAGACTCGCTGGCCTTCAGCTCGTCTATAGAGACTCGCTGGCCTTCAGCTCGTCTATAGAGACTCGCTGGCCTTCAGCTCGTCTATAGAGACTCGCTGGCCTTCAGCTCGTCTATAGAGACTCGCTGGCCTTCAGCTCGTCTATAGAGACTCGCTGGCCTTCAGCTCGTCTATAGAGACTCGCTGGCCTTCAGCTCGTCTATAGAGACTCGCTGGCCTTCAGCTCGTCTATAGAGACTCGCTGGCCTTCAGCTCGTCTATAGAGACTCGCTGGCCTTCAGCTCGTCTATAGAGACTCGCTGGCCTTCAGCTCGTCTATAGAGACTCGCTGGCCTTCAGCTCGTCTATAGAGACTCGCTGGCCTTCAGCTCGTCTATAGAGACTCGCTGGCCTTCAGCTCGTCTATAGAGACTCGCTGGCCTTCAGCTCGTCTATAGAGACTCGCTGGCCTTCAGCTCGTCTATAGAGACTCGCTGGCCTTCAGCTCGTCTATAGAGACTCGCTGGCCTTCAGCTCGTCTATAGAGACTCGCTGGCCTTCAGCTCGTCTATAGAGACTCGCTGGCCTTCAGCTCGTCTATAGAGACTCGCTGGCCTTCAGCTCGTCTATAGAGACTCGCTGGCCTTCAGCTCGTCTATAGAGACTAGACTCGCTGGCCTTCAGCTCGTCTATAGAGACTCGCTGGCCTTCAGCTCGTCTATAGAGACTCGCTGGCCTTCAGCTCGTCTATAGAGACTCGCTGGCCTTCAGCTCGTCTATAGAGACTCGCTGGCCTTCAGCTCGTCTATAGAGACTCGCTGGCCTTCAGCTCGTCTATAGAGACTCGCTGGCCTTCAGCTCGTCTATAGAGACTCGCTGGCCTTCAGCTCGTCTATAGAGACTCGCTGGCCTTCAGCTCGTCTATAGAGACTCGCTGGCCTTCAGCTCGTCTATAAAGACTCCCTGGCCTTCAGCTCGTCTATAAAGACTCCCTGACCTTCAGTTCGTCTTTAGAGACTCCTTGGCCTTCAGCTCGTCTATAGAGACTCCCTTTCTTTCAGCTCGTGTATAGAGACTCCCTGGCTTTCGGCTCGTCTGTGGAGACTCTCCGGCCTTCAGCTCGTCTATGGAGACTCTCTGGCCTTCAGCTCGTCTATGGAGACTCTCTGGCCTTCAGCTCGTCTATAGAGACTCCCTGGCCTTCAGCTCGTATATAGAGACTCCCTGGCCTTCAGCTCGTCTATAGAGACTCCCTGGCCTTCAGCTCGTCTATAGAGACTCCCTGGACTTCAGCTCGTCTATAGAGACTCCCTGGCCTTCAGCTCGTCTATAGAGACTCCCTGGCCGGCAGCTCCTCTATGGAGACTCCCTGGCCGGCAGCTCGTCTATAGAGACTCCCTGGCCGGCAGCTCGTCTATAGAGACTCCCTGGCCTACAGACCGTCTATAGAGACTCCCTGGCCTACAGAGCGTCTATAGAGACTCTGGGGCCTTCAACTCGCCTATTGAGGCTCTCTGGGCTTCAGCTCGGAAATAGAGGCTCTGTGGGCTTCAGTTCGTCTATAGAGACTCTGGCCTTCAACTCGCCTATTGAGGCTCTCTGGGCTTCAGCTCGGAAATAGAGGCTCTGTGGGCTTCAGCTCAGAAATACAGCTCGGCTTTAAAGGCTCTTTGGGTGTCAACCCACATATTAAGGCTCTCTGGGCTTCAGCTTGTCTATAGAGGTTTACGGATAAAAACTTTATAAGTTTTTCTCTAGCATAAACATACGGCTTAGGTATTACTGTTCCATTGGAAAACCGTTAGTCTTTTCTTTTATTTGACAACACAACCACATTTTCATATGAGTATCTGCTTTTTTTCAACTTATTTTCTTGTGTTTCTTCTTCTGTTGCTGCCGTTGTTGTCATCTCCTGGCTGGCAACTTTCTCATGAATATTGTTAGGGTCTTCTTCTTCGTATGAAGTACAAAGTGAAAAATAACAACAACAAACTTACGCTATGCGTTTCATAGTTGTCTGCCTTAACAGCCGTGGTGATGGCGGCGGCGACACCAACATCTTTCAGCCAGCCACCCATCCATCCAGGCATCTAGTAAGAAACTTTAAGTGTTTCTTGTAACTTGAGATTTTAAGTGTTGTTGTTGGTGTTGTTTTATTTTCCCTAAAGAGGAGCGAGAGGAAAAACAGAAAAACTTGCTAGTAATATTAGATTTTCAGGAAAATTTACATTCAAGAAAAACAAAAAATTTGATAAAAAAATGTAACAACTTTTCTCTGATTAATTTGTCTAATTTATTTTATTTTTCTTCTTCCCCTTCTCTTTGCAGTTTGACAAAAATCTACAAACAAATAATTAAATAAATAAAACACCAACAACTTCTACGCGTTTTTTCGTTCGTTTATACGGTTCGTTCGTACGTTTTCGTTTTCGCCAACCGTATTGTGATTTTTTTGAAATTCGGTGTAATCGTGGAAACATCAAAAGCCAAGCGACATAATATTGGTGACTTCGTCCAAGTATCATCTCCAGCAGTGCGCCGCAAACGGAGGGTAGGGCTTATCTAACGCTGCTGCTAACAGATGAGCCCCAACAACACATGTCAATTGTTGCAGCCGAAAATGCAGGGTAAGTTGAGGGATTTAAACTGATACTTGTTTCATAAAAAATAATGCAATCTGCATATCTTCTACAAAAACACTATTATTTTGCTTGTCTATAAGATCTCCAACTTCAGTTTTTATATCAAGATTTACTTCAGAATGTCGCTCTTAATATTATACCCATTTAATGGACCTTGAGGACGTTCGATGGCACATTTCTTCAGGCTCTTCAGATTTCTTCTATAAAGTTGTCAATAAACCATAATTTGTTGAGACTATATTGGGCGCCAAATATTGGCGCCCAATTGTGAACATATTTATACCAAATATTGGCGACCGATCTTTCTGAAAGGTCATCTGAAGAGAATCTCATCTTCATATTCCCAAAAACGCGAAATTTATAAAACCGGCCTACAAAGATGTAAATCTACAAAGAGAATCCTTTTCCAGTTAATACTTGAAATGACTTCTGTAACATTTGGTCTAGGAGTCCCCCTTTAAATTTCGTCTAAACATGTGACTCCTAAAATGGGACTGTAACATTTGGTCTAGGAGTCCCCCTTCAAATTTCGGGACTCCTAAAAGACTAATCTTATTCAGATCCTTAAAATATACCCATATGTGTAATCTACTTTCTTTGGATCTACAAAAGGACTGCGTGTTATATAATTTAACATTGGTACTCTTCATATTAATCCTCTTTTATGTGGTATTGCAAAAAAGTTCCCTTTTCAAGATAGTCCAATGATTTCCTCCTCAATGACACGTCTAAATGATATCTCTTCTTCTACTCCTAGTCTGTAAAAATGCTATCCTCATCCTTGTGCTGCGGATGCTTGGCAACACTCCTATAAATATTCTATATTTGGCAGATCAAAAAGGCTCCCTGCTCGGCAGCTTGTTTATATGGACTCGCTGCGCTGAAGCTCTCACCTCAGCAGATCGTCTATAAAGACTCTCTGCTTAGCAGATCGTCTACAAGGACTTCCAGCTTGGTAGCTCGCCTATAAAAACTCCCAACTAGGCAGCTCCCTTTACTGCAACTCACCTATAAAGATTTTCTGACCTTTTGCTTGTCTGTAGGTACTCCCTACAACTCAGCCTTGAAGACTCTCTTCTTTAGAAGAATTTAGTTTTCATATAAGGGCTTAAGCTGCTTATCTTCAAAACTACCCTCACCAATCCACGTTCTCTCTTCCGACGAGTAATGACTGCCTTCTACGTGTCCTCGCCTTTTCACCACTTCTATAAGACGTTCATCTTCAGTCTTTGTCTACAAAGTCTACCTGCTTCAGTTCTTGCTTTAGCTCGTCCATTAAGACTTCTAATCTTTGTGGGCTTTTATAAGGAGAACATCTCCTGGAAATCTTATATGATTGGAAGGTCCTTTCGATGAATAGTTGGATTGTTATACATATATAGGTTATTTTGGAGGTCTTCTGTAAATAATACAATTCTCCAGAGAACCTTTTCGGGGTCTTCTTAAGGCTAAAAGCTATTTAGGACTTTTTGGAAAAGGTTTACTTTTAATGATAGAACTTTCCCACCTCCTCTGTGCACATAAGATTTCTTTATGGATTTTTGAAGACTTTTTTAAATTTTTTTCTGAAGAAGAATTCTTCTGGCGGTCTATTGAAATTCGATGGCCATTTTGAGTTCTCCGAAAATCAAAGACTTTTTTCATGGCATTCTTTAGATCAAAGATATTTCGAAATCTTCCGAAACTGATTTTTTTTATAGCCAAACTTTTAAGCGTTATTCTATTTCTATATGGCTTATTTATACACCCCTGGCTGAGTGGGGATTGGCAAAGTCCTTAATTAGAAGTTGTTAAAATTTGAGTCCAAAAATTATGGCATATTTTGACCTGAAACCAAGGAGACCCAAATATAGCCTCCATATAAAGATATTCCAACGAAATTAACCTAAAATAGTTCCTGTTCACACCTTATTTGAAAGACTCCTTTAAAGCCTTCTATTGATAGAAATATATATTAGAGGGGGCTAATATCTTTACGTGTCACCAAAAAATATCATTACCGAATAAGGGGTGTCGTAAGTTCATTTTTGTATAAGCTATATATTACCTTACAGCATACTAAAGGTGAGAATGCATAAAACGCTTTTTTGACTGGCTTCTTCGTACAGGGACAAAGGAGTTTTAGTTTGACTTAATTCGATTGTGGCTCCACTCTCCTTTATTCTTTTCCGAGGAAGCCGGCCGACTTTGCCAGTCAAAACAACGTTTTATGTATTCTCACCATACCTTAAAAGGTATGGGCACAGCATACGAAGTAAGTAAATGATTTCGAAATCTATGAACTCAGACCTCTGATACGCAGATTCCAACCAGTGATCTTAATTATTGAGCCCCTTGTGCTTTCGCTTCTCCCTACTTGCTAAGATGACGGGAATCTATTATATTTTGGTTTTGGGAATACCTCATTATTTTTTGGTATTGCTGGTAATGCAGAGGGTATGCTAATGTGCTTACAATGACATTAGCATACCCCCTTCATTACCAGTTACACCAAAAAATATTGAGGTATTCCCAAGAGATGAAAGTGGCCCATGTGATTCGGAGCAGTGAGCTTATGCTTTGTATACCCTTAGGTCTTGTTTCTCCAAATTCGCTAAGATGAAAGAGAGCTATTTTATTTTGCTATTCTTTGAGAATAACTCATTATTTTTTAGCTTACTGGTAATGTAGAGGGGATGTAAATGTCATCACCGGGATCTCCAGTTGATTTTTTTTTAAATTTTCCATAGCTAATGGAAAATAATTTACCGTGGAATGAAATTTAGCCGTTTTGCATTTTTCGTGGAGTATCTCATTATTTTTTACATTACTGGTAATGCAGGGGGTATGTAAATGTCATCATTTGGATCTAAAGTTTGTTTTTATACCAAACACCACAAGGTGGTCAGGGTATTATGTCTTTGTGCATTTGTTTGTAACAGGCAAAAGGAAACGAGATAGACCCATAGTTCCTTTTAATGATCTGCATAGAATCACATTCTGAGTCGATTTATGCATGTCCGTCCGTCCGTCTGTCCATATATTTTTGTAAACAAAGTACAGTTCGCATTTATAGCCCTATCCACATGAAATTTTGCACAAGTAATTTGTTTGGCTCAAGGACGAACCCTATTGAAATTGGAGATAATCGGTTAAAATTTAGATATAGCTCCCATATATAACTTCGTCCAATTTACCTTTTATTGTACATCAAACGTCTAATATTTGCCCAAATTGGATGACATTTGGCACATACGACCGAATTGGGTCTAGAAGCTAGTATAAAAAAATTGATGAAAATCGGTTCAGATATAGCTATAGCTCCCATATATACTGTTCATCCGATTTGTTGTATTTGTTACCCACAACCGTAATATGCACTCCGTAACATCGATATTCAGGTAAATATATCAAATACAGCTCAGAAATATATTTGCCAAATTTTATCGAGATCGGTTCCGATTTGGATATAGCTCCCATATATATTTTTATCCGATTTCAAATTAATTGTGCACCAAATGGGCAATACAAATCCGAATTTAAAAGGTACAAATGCTTCGGCATATTTAGTCCTCTGAACTTTAAATTATAATTATAACCATAGCGTGTATGATTGAGTTTTCCCATAAAAACGTTTAGTAGATATACGGATTTCTACTAAATTAGCAACGTGGTGTAGGGTATCATAAAGTCGGCCCGACTTAAGGACTATCTTTACTGTTTTTTTTTAATTTATCATGGCTAGTGGAGAGTAATTTGCCATCAAATGAAATTTAGCTCAGGGTTCTTCCCTATTTCGAATTGTTTGCATATTCAAAATTTGCGTCTTTTTGAAAACAAAAAAAAAAAATAAATAAATAAATAAAACAAAATTTCTCCTCCCAAAAATGTTAAGTGTGTCAAGTTTATATATGAAATGAAATCATTAACATTTGCCAGCTCATTTGTGGGCCATTTGTTTGTTTTTAGACACAAACACACACACACACATAAAATATTTACTTTTGTTTTTAGGCCAAAATAAATTAAAAAAAAAAAAAAAAAATTAAAAAAAAAAACAAGAAACTGTGTTTTTTTTTAATTTTTTTTTTTTTTATAAATTTTACTAATGATTCAGTTTTGATTTCTCAGAGATCTGAACAGCATCACATCATCACTGAAATATTTCTGATATTACAATCAGAGACATATTCCGTTTTCCATTCCATATATATATGTATATGTATATATGTTTGCCTGTAAGTGGTTATTTACAATCAAAAGTAATGATGATGAGGTTTTAAAGTTGAAAAAAAAAGTTTCATTTTTTCGCGCTTACTTGCCGCTTTTGTCTCCGTTTGATACGCTGGAAGAAAAAGTAAAATTACAAAAACACAAAAAGAAAAAAACGCTGACAAACGGCCTACTTTCACTTTCTACTATTTTATCATCAGAAACCAACCACGTTTGTTTCATAGCTGGGGCTGGTGTTAGCTCGCTCGCTAGCTTGCTGGCTGGTTGGCTGGCTGGCTAACAAGCACAAAAACAATGAATATAAAAAGCGTAACTAAAACTAATCGAAAAAATGAAAGAAAAAAATAGAAAATCAAACTAAAAGTAAAATTGGCGAATAAACTCTCTAACTAACCAAAAAGGGGGAGGTAGGTAGGGAGGTACATAGAAAACAAAATGTAATGAGAGAAAGAAAAGAAAAAATCGAAAGTATTTTTTCCAAACACACACTCACACACAAAGAAAACGAACACAAAGCTTACATTTATTGCAATTAAACAATTAGCAATTTGTTTAGGTTTGTCTCATTCATAGTTGGGCGGCTATTTCAAGCTCGCCTGAAAGAGAAAAAAAACAGATATTCATAACAGCTGCCTTCTGATGTAAAAAAGAAACAAGTAAAAAAAAACTTTGAATACTCTCCACCATTTGGAACTTATTTGGCAATTCTCCAAAACAATAAAATCCGCTAAATAATGTAGCTAAAATCATTAAAATACCGAATATCGGGAGGT